AGCTTTATTTAAGAATTAACTTAATTTTGATGGATAATTAAATCCTACAGCAGTTACATCAATCATCTTCTACAAGCTATATATTTCTATATCTATGTAGCTTAAAAGATGATCTATCGTGGTTTATCCTAGATAGACCTGCAATCACTCTATAAGTGGACAGACCTAGCTAAGGGTCGGATGATCAATATACAGTCATAAACGGCTAGTCTAGGTTAGTTAGTATTGGGCTTTACAAATTTCTATTGTTCACTAAACTAGTCTATAGTTAATTGTACCTGATGGGATTTAACATCCTCCAATATTCCCTAAATATTATTCACTCAGACCTCGGAAGGGGAAACTTTCCTTCTTTGTCACCACCTGTGGCATCGTATCAGTTCTTATTGACTGATTTTTAATTAAGCGGAGCACCAGATTGGGATATCCTGAGCTAGGAGAGTGGAGGTCCTGAAGGCTGCCAGGTCAGAGTGGGCTTAAGGCATTTTTGTGGGAAATTAGATTAGAAGCCTTTCTTCATGCAATCCTTCCAGTAGTATAACCATAGATCTCAGCCCCTGATCGATGAAAGGCCAGAAGTCCCATCTTCATGCAACCTAACTTGCTTAGAACTTGTTCCTGATGATTGGGTATGACTTTCACAGGATAACCGGTCAAACATGATCAGAAGGATAATTTTTGATTTTGGTCCTTGAGTGGTATTGAACTACAGACCTTGTGATTGTGACCTGGAAGCACTACCACTGTGCTATTGATCCACAGGTCTATTTATTTAATAATCTTTTCTCAAAAAATATTTGTTTAATTCATATAATCAACTCTTTTTACTAATTCTTTGATTACACATAGACAAAATATTTGTAAGTTTTTATATTTTTTAAGTAATATAGTCCTTTACCTAATAATGTTTAATAAAAAGTTGGTTGTTATGTGAAAGTCTAACCTATTGGATATATTTCAATAAAGATACACCATGACGACATGATTGCAGGTAAAAATGAAAAAATTAAATTAAAAATTTTTTCTTAAATAATGTCAATTATTTATTTTCTAAAAATTAATATACAGCACGTACAGTATATTATACATAAATATTATTCAATTACAACAATTTTAATGCTAATCATGGTTATAAAAACAATTGACGATGAATTAAAACACAGAAAACCATGTTTTCCAAAAGCAGCATGTTGACACAGCATTCCCTGTCTAGAAACGATTTAACCATCGTCGTCACTTTGATAAGGTGTAGGTTGGTATATCATCACTTCATCAGGAGCAATTCGATCTAACAACTCATCAGGCCAACAATAGTTCACGTCGATATTATTTAAATCTGGATCCTCCTTGTTGGTATTGAATAATCCTTTGGTACCTTCCGAAACACGTGGAGTTTGATATTCATTAAGCTTTATTTTTCGTTCGAGTTCTGATGAGGAAACATTATTCCAGTCGATTGCGGTAAAAGGATCTTGTTCTTCAAGTGGATCCGGCATTACATCCCATCCCGATCCGTCTCCATTCTCAAAGACAGTAGCCAGCTCGTCGCTATAGTATTCGTCGATAGTGTTTAATTGAGGAGTCGTGGCTGAAAAGCCATAAACTTCTTCCTGAAGCCACTGCTCCCAGTTTTCTATGAAAGATCGATCCAACATTATATCGTCAGTCACATAGGCAGAATGAAGGCTATCGAATGGTTTGGTATAGTGAGGTGGAAATGTGTCGGGCATATTTCGGTTATCGATGAAATTTAGCTGATCATTATACTGGGAAAAATAATTTCTTTCGTTGTAAAATTTAATCATTTCCCGAAGGCTTTGTTCTTGGGGCTGCCATGGAAACCATATAAAATTGGTTCAGTTCTAATGTAATATACAAGATTATCAAGGATTCGAAATGTATTTGGTTTATTAAAAATTTACTTGCCACCGCATCTTCAACTTCAGCGTCCGCATCAGTCGATGCTATCCACTCATCCCTCAGACCTGGGCGACAATTCATGTATATGGAGGTAATCACTTTCATATTACCTTTGAAAAATCAACAGTGTAAATTATCCCGAAGGCGTTAAAGAAAAATGCATAAAACACGGGAGACTTACTTTGTTTCCACTTCCTTCCAATAAAAGGGATCTGATTCTTCAACACTTTGAGGGCATATAGTTCCAATAAAGGATGGGAAACTTTGAGGGTCTTTTTCAATATGGCCTGTTTTAAAAATAAGAAGTTACATTATTTGAGGTGATAAAAAAAATCAGAATGATAATTTGCTTACTGATGATTTGCAGCGCACAAGTGATAAAATCCTATGAGTCTTTTTTTTAATTAGTTTTTGTAGGATTCGTAGAAAGTTTATAGACGCAAATAAATTTCGCCAACAATAATCCAAGTCAATATTCAAATCATTTTTTGAAACAGTTCGTTGTTTCTCTTTTGTCGATTCATTTTCCTGCTGCAACAAGGTGTTTTTGGAACAGTTTTCACGGTTGTCCAATGAACTATCCTCTTCGTCAGCGTCACGATTATTGATGGTCATGCAGTAACGGAAAAAGCTTAGATAATAATGAAAGATCAGTCGTCTTATCCTATTGATTAAGGGTTTATAGTGTCACCTACTTTAGATCATCCACCTCATTTTTGGCTTTAATAACGATGCTCACATCTTGCATGCTAAGAATCTTAAAAATTAGAAGCAAACAATTCGCATCAACCAAGAGTTGAGACAAGTATTCGAATTTCAACACATCTATCAATTGCAATACATTGAGAACAATATTTCAAATTAAACAAAAGTGATAAGAATTCCGAGTAAAGGATACGGTTCAATTTCAAATGTTTTAGCATCAGGAGTAAAATTGCGGACACTGCTTTGGAAGTAATTTCGCGATGCCTTCTAATATCAACTTCTTCGATGGTGTCCACGCTCGAAGCAGAAGAGTTGGTATGAGAGTCCGAAACATAGCCTTCGTAAAATGAAGAGGATGAACAAAGATAATTGCGAACGAGCAGAATTTCAAATTCACAGTTACCATTGTTTGTGGACGTCCCATCTTTGATGGGAATGTCGTTTTCATTTCCTTTCACGTTGTTAGGATGTGAAGGTACAGTGGCCAACAAAAGTTTAAGAAGAACAATGACTATATTCGGTAAATGAGGAAGAATGGACCGCTATCGAATAAGATAAACAATGGTTGAGGAATAAATTTTAGATTGACACCAATTATATATATAAAAAAAATAAAATAAAATGAATGAATAATAAATTTAAGGATACATAAAGCGCTTCTACTCGTTCCAATTTTTCTCTTTCCACAATTGTCATCTTATCCTTGTTCCTGTTATCATCAATCTTAATTTCTTTTGTCGCGTCGGTAATATAGAAGTTTTCTTTATAAGTTGTGCCATTAATATTACAGTTGATCTGACTTCTTTTCATCTCTTCCCTTTCTTTCCAAAATTGAAGGGTGCCTAGGCTTATATATATGTATTTGAGATACAAATCACCCGCTTCCTGGATTGATTGCGGCACACTTGGAGTAAATTCCGAGAATGGAAAAATAAAGGGTTGTCGCTGATTTGTTTGAAATTGTTGTTTTCGAGATTTTGGTGTAGATGGATTGTTGTTGCCGTTGGACGAATTTTGCCCGGAAGATTCATTCCCATTCGAATTATAATTATTGTTTGAAAAAGGATTGATGGAAACGGTGGGCATCACAATTGCAGGACATGGGGGTGGAACATAGGTCGGATACTTATGCGTCACTTCGGTTTGAAAAGTGTGATAGTCCATAGGAGTGGATTTGAGAAATAACTCTGTGGAATAATAGGCTACCATTAAGTCATTTATATCTTGTGCGTTAAAAGAAGTTAAGTTACCAAAAATTACCTTTGTCTTCAATTGGGGATAACTCGTTATGTTCGCGTACCGCTCCCCTCAACTTCCTTATTTCATCTAACCCGCCGAGACTTGCTAGAATAACTTTCCACAATAAAAGGAGCAACTTTGTGCATTTGTTTCGACAGTTCCATCGACTTGTCAGCACCTTTCCTTACATTATACTTTGGTCCTAATAAAGTTCTTATTCACCTTTTTGACTGGATAGCCTTTCGTATTTTTTTCTTTCTCCCGCAATGAAGCAATTATGTCAAACAGGAATGCGGTCATCGGAGGATCAAGACCAACTATAAAATCGGCAAATTTGTCCGTAACTATGCCAACGATGAGTGCTGGAAAAGCGCATTAAAGATCAATGGGCAAACCTAGCTCCGTGCCAAAAGATTCATCCCCGCGATGAACTTCGACTAGCATATATAGCAACGTCAAATAGTACCCAATTTCCGTGTTTGCGTCATCGATGTATGCTTGCCGTTCTATGCTACCGTCCGCACGACTACATAAAGTTTTCATGGTAAGTTAATGCGTCTACCTATGATGAAAGTCCGGTATATCTACCTATAATGGTCGTGCACGCGACATGCCAATTTTAAAGCTTGAAAGTATGACAAGAGAGCTCCACACTTTCGTAATAGCTTATTGTTTTCAATCATCCACTCAAGATGTTTCTCCCGTGTTTTCAATTCGCCAAATGTCCCTGGATTCGTATTCACAATTCAGAATGTGAATGATTCGTGCTGTCAATAAAAATATTGGTATAACTAATCCTTGTAATCATAAAAATTTGTTCCACAAATCTGACCTTGAGCAATATATATAAGCTTCTTTGCCGAAGAGAATCTTTTACCAGGATCTTTCAATTCTAATGTTTCAAGTAAATATTCAACGTACACTTTGCGCTCTGATATTGTGCTATTTATCCAAGCTGTATGACGATGCACGAAATTCGTTAAATTTATTTAAAAATCATCAGGCGTTTTCAGAATATTCATTAATATGATGAGCGTATACATTCGTCAAACCCTTCCTCGAAGGTTTTTTTGTTTTCCAGGAACTGCGTGATCTCAGCATAACTATAAAATTCATTAATTTCGTTGGAAAGACTGTCGCTGTCTGCATACGAAAAAGCTATTTCTTTCGGCTATAAGTCGGACGAGTCAATTAAGCGAGTGAGGATGTTGACATACAAATAAAAGTGCAGAATTCGGTTTGACCGACCTTTTGTTTGTTTGGAAATTGCCTGACAATTCTTTTCAGTTGACTCAGGGTCAGGGAATCATTGGGTGCCTCGTCTTTTGGAGAATCTATAGCTTCGGCCATTTCGAACTTGGGTATAAAAGAACGTAATTCAATTGTTGAACTTATGTTGTCATATTCGAAATATCCAAGTGTTTATTTTCTTCTAGATCCTGGGTAAGAAGGATGTTCATAAAATTTGGGTAATTTGTCGAATCGTATAGTTATGAGCAAACAGATAACAATTATATTATCACTTTTGTAAGCCGCACTTACTATAAAAGGTATTATTATCACGTATTCTTCGAGATTAAAAAAATTGGCACTACATTTCGAGGTCTAATTAATCAATTTCAGACCCGAAATGTAGATCATTTTTAAGTAATGGGCGCGTCATACCGGAACATTATATTTTTCTTTCTTTAATAATAATCAGTTATTAATAATAATTTGATTAAACAATAATTTTTAAATTAGATTTGAAACAATAATTTCAGATGGAATTCTATCGTGATTAAACTGACAGTAAAAATGAAAAACCTTTTTAATTATTGCATAAATACTGTACAGTAGTATATCAATGCACGATGCAGATATTCCAACCATTTTTTAAATGGAGAGAGTTCGACACCCCACTGGAAAACAGTATCATTATTACAATCAAATATTTATAATTCATTTATAAATTCATCTCAAATTCATTTAGATCAATGCAGCATATACAGTATATGGTAGTAGTAGGAGATTGATGGTAATTCTGTTATGATGATGAGATGATGCAAACGATAAATGCGGTTTATGAAATCCAGTATGACGCCAATTCATGTGTCAATTGTTCCTTTGATGGGATAAACATAAAAAAAAAAAAAAAATTCTATTTAAAAGTAATGAATATGCTGCGTATTCGATGATGATGCCTTCTAAACCAATGATAACTCGACCATGTTTAAGCCATGATCTGTTAAAGTGACCAAATTATCTTGTCCCCCCTCGCATGTCATCCATCCTCACCTCAAGTGTGCTCTAGTACGAATCGCAACTCTTTTTGTCAACCTCTTTTATTCATATCTAACATTACATAACGTCGAATTGGAAAAATAAATAAACTCGAATAAAATATATTTTAACAAAATGCTTGTCTACAATTATTTCCCAAGATATTGTATATATAATCGATTAAACCGTTGTTAATGATATAAAGGCTAATTTTAAAATGAAGAAGTGCCTGATGCAAAAAAAAATTAACATTTTTGAATTCGTTGACGGGAATATTTCCTTCGAGTAATCGGGACGTCAACAAAAAGATTTGGTGAAAGGTCGAGGTGGAGATGGTGATGTCTTATCTTTGAAATTAGTGTATGGTATTGCCTAGGTATTTAAACAATTGACCGCCTAAATATCTGGAAAGCATGTTGAAAAAAGACAATATTCATAAATTAACAAATAAATAGCAATCCACAAAATTACCAACAAGAGACAAACCCGATCATTGAAATATAAAAAGAAAGAATTCTATGTCGGTTATTGGGTCACAGTATTGTACATTGACACTTTGGTGCGCTATCGGTAGTTTGTAAGTCTGAGGCAATAATAATAATACATTAATTGCTTATGCAAAGCAAGAATAAGTTAAATTCAAAGCACTCTTCCGCGCACACACACACACACACATATATATATATATGCAAAAAAAAAAAAAAAAAAAAAAAGAACCTCTAATGTCATCTTGTACACTCTTGATGGTCAAATGTGCGATGGTATTTTGCCCACGCGGAATTCTATTCGCTAAATGAAATATGTAAAGTCATCTTAGAAAAAATTCTATCCATCATCATATCAAAGTTCTCATTCTTCGGATGTACGTTCGCTAGTTACACGCCTTACATTCAAGTGTGCTATCGTCATCTAAAAATCGCCCCCGATACACAATTCTTAGACATGAGGCCTTCGCAGGGGCTTCTTCGACCCAATCTATGAAAAAAAAAGGTAATAATAAATAAATAAATAAATAAAATCGATTAGTTTATTTAATAGATCTAGATGATGTATGATGATCTAATTTTACTGGAATCTCTAGAACTGGTCACCAATTAACATTTCATCAAAGAAATGAAATCTCAAGTATGAAATTTTTATTACCCCTTGGCCACTCGTTAAAAACGGTATTTTTCACCTTGGTGACTGTGTCTCCGGGCTCAAATAAGAAAGCGTGTCGACTGCCTGAAACTAGTAGTAGGGTTAACTTAATTTTATTTTCTAATTCCGGGACGTTTGCATCGGTTGACGACGTATCAAGTTGCGTGTTATGTGAGGAGAGTCCGGAAGAGGACGTAGTTGTTGAATCGCCACCCGAACAAGAATTTCTACTCAAGACCTGTGTTGTTTGAACATTTGTAGCGTTACCAATAGAGCCTTTAGGTACCGTTGATTGTGAAGTATCCGCATTGAAGCTACCGTGCAGAACTTGCCCTGGCTGTGTCATTGCGGTTTCAAGAGTTAATAGAGATCGAAGTGAAATATAAATTTGAAATAGATTTAAAATGTGCGAATTTAAGGAGCAGTTTTAATGAACGTAAATGATGGGATCGATGCGGAAATGAAATAAAATAAGGATATATTAAGCAAGCAAGCTAGTAGATTCATTAACTTGTTTGAATTGGAGAGTTTAAATATTTGTTCCTTACAGAATTTCGGAAAGAAGGTCGCAATTTGAATTCATGCAGTTGCACAGAGTACACGTGATGTTAATTTTTAGCAGGAAAAATATAATTGAACAGAAACTTTCGATCTAAATAAAGGGAAGTTTGCATTATGTAATTTCCTATCCAAGTAACCACGGCTGAGCGTACATATAATAAAAAAATACATTCGTCTTAACATGCCATCATTGTCGTCATCATCATCATCACGGACAGGTGTTTGACAATGCGTCATCTCGTCTAAAAAATTTTTTTATGCAGGTACTGACTGTACTATAGAAAATCTCCTTGTCAACTAATTCATATTTGATCACGTGAGGTTGATCCGCGCATTAATTTCTATCGTGATCCAATGTTATTTCGCATACTTCGCCGAAAAAGATGTCGGAACGTAAAGTATTGGTGCTTGACAACGGAGCATACACCATTAAAGCTGGGTATGCGGCGATCACGCAGCAACCGAGGTATTATTCAACCAATCGATAGTCTTGGTAAATCGAGATCTCGTAAAGACGATTAATATGTTTTTTGTACAGAATTATTCCTAATTGCAGAGTGACACTCGGCAAGGGAGTCAAAAAAACTTATATAGGAGATCAAATAAGTTCTTGCACCGATTTTTCTGGACTTTACTATCGATTGCCATTCGAGAAAGTATAGTAGAGACTTTCGTGTCTTCGCGTATTTGACCAAAATTATTATTATTGATGAAATTTTCGGAACAGGGTTATCTCACAAACTGGGAGGTGGAAAAGGGAGTTTGGGATAGAGTTTTTTCAAAGGAAGTCATGAATGTACGTGAAATCGGGGCTTGGTTAACTTTGGAAATAGAAAAGAAAAAAGATAACAAACGTTCGATTTCCTTTAGTGTGATCCGAAAAAAACCAGTCTTCTCATAACAGAACCATGCTTTAATTTACCAAATATTCAAAGAACTTATGATGAGATGATATTCGAAGCATATGAATTTCAATCATATTGTCGAACGACCGGTACGGTCTTTTCTTTTCTCTTCTTTTTTTTCAGCAAGAATCTACGTGTTTGATGATAGCGAATGGTCAAATATTCATTCATTCCCGTGTAATAAATAGCTCCGTGGCTGTGCATGCAGAATGATACATCGGAACTCTACAGTGATAGGCCACATAACCCATCGGAGACACCGGACTGCGTTTTGGTGGTGGATACGGGATACTCTTTTACCCACATCATACCTTTCGTCATGGGTCGGCCAATATTTCCTGCCATCCGAAGGTGAGTGTTAGTCATATTGAATATGTACTATGAATTGTTATTGGTATTTTAGCTTTCTTTAATGCAGAATCAATATTGGAGGCAAATTGTTGACCAACCACCTAAAAGAGATCGTGTCGTTTCGGTAAGGGATGGATGGCGTTTATGTTAAGGGTTGCCTCGACGGGCGAAACGACATTCACATGTCTCATTCTCCACGTCATCCATTCTCTAGATATTGGGATATGATGGATCAAACTTATGTTATGAACGAAGTTAAAGAATCATGTTGTTACGTTTCTCAAGATTTCTTAACCGATCTCGAGACTTGCCGGTAAGGGTGGGAAAGGAGAGGGAAAGGGTATTAAGGTCCAATATCAAAGTGATGGCAATTTTTGTAGAAGGAACACGAGAGACAACCCAATCCTCCAGGAGTATATCCTTCCCGATTTTTCAAGAAACTCCAAGGGGTTCATAAGGGTACTGTTGTATTACCATTTTTCCGCACAAGTTTCGCTTTGACGTGTACTGAGGGGAAATTTCTTTGAGAAAAGGAAAAGAAAGGTGGAGGGATGTATGATCAATCTGATGAGCAGGTTTTGTACATGAACAACGAACGTTTCGCCGTACCCGAAATATTGTTCAATCCATCAGACATCGGTAGGTTTAACGACGATTACTTATTTTGCCTAGAAATAGCTTGTGCTCATTGTTATTTCATTCATAGGCATGAATCAGGCAGGAATCCCGGAGGTCATAGTGGAATCAATTAATGCTACACATCCTGGTATCTCTTGTTGCTATATTTTTGATTGAGGATATGTGAGGTGCGCCAAGTGAGGGTAATCGCGGCGCGTGAATTTGATTCTTTAAGCAAGGGAATTCCACGATGGTGATTCCTATTCCTAAGCGACAGAGAAAATCAGGATCACGCGACTGAATTACCTCACGCACCTCACATAAAGTAATATCAACTATCGGTAGATAGAAAAGGATTATTGGTGGTAACTGACGACAGACATCATTCAACAATTTGAGTATAGAAATGTTTCCTTTTCCTGTAAATGATGTAGATTTGCACGGTTTATTTTACGGGAATATTGTGTTGGTCGGTGGAAATAGTTTGTTCTCTGGATATAAGGAAAGAGTGTAAGTAGCGATAGTGCACATGCACAATTCTTTCGAGAAATTGATGTGCACATTATTCAGGAATTTCTTTTTACAGTGAGAAGGATTTACGTGTTCTTGCACCATCGGAATTTGAAGTTAAAGTGGGAATGCCCGAAGAGTAAGAGATTAGATCGCACCTTATTGTCGTCATCATTACTATTATTGTCACTGTGACATTTATTAATTAATGACACCTAAATTTTCGTTTATTGCATGTAGTCCCATAACTTACGCATGGTATGGTGGGTGCAAATTTGCGACCTCTCCTGAATTTGATGAAAGGCTGGTCACTCGATCAGAGTACATGGAACATGGTAGTAACATTTGTCTTAAAAAATTTGGATGGGGAGATGGTGAGTTTGACGAACTATCCGAATGAATTCCGTTCAGCTAGAGGCATTCAAATTTCTGTCCATCATGTATGAGATCAACTTGATCTCTGCGTGAAACAATTGGATGTGACAATTTAAACCTTGCTGGACAAATTTTATTTTTGTTTAAGCTGAAAATATCAATATATTTATGAAATTTGTTTATACATTATGTATTTGACCTTGTCTAAAACAATGGTCGAAACAAGTCATAAGACCATATACTGTATACTGTTTAACTGAATAATTCGAACACGCAAATACTCAACAAAAATCGTATTAAATTGGATCACAGAATATTCTCAAACTTGAATAAAAATAAAATTCTAATACCAATTTAGATATTTGATCAGGTCTGGATGCAATTACACTTTTTTATAATCACATTATCAAAGTTCTTTTCTTTTTTTTAAATAATAATAATAATTGACTAATGGTTATGCAGTTGAAAAATATTTATTTTATATATTGCCACTCTTGTAACATTTGTCAAAAAAGCAAAAATTTAACAAATCAATTCATTTTTACTTTATAATTTGACATAAATAAATCATCAATTGGCATTAATATATCTTTACTATATGGTTAAACATAAAAAATTGTTAATATATTTCTACTATATATTTTGTAAATTAATGACATAAACAAATTATTAAAAATTTTCTTCAAAAAATTATTAAAATTTCAATATTGTTAAAACTCACATATTTATTAAATTTGAATTATATATTATACTTATGATTTAAAAAAATTATAGCTAAATATTTACAAGAATCTTATCAATTTGAGATTTTATATTTAGATAGAATAAATCAATAAAAAATATTATAAATAAAAAATTATATATCCATGTTTATTTTTTTTATTTTTTTTTAATGCTGACATAATCAAACTTTATTGAAAATTTCAATGAATAAAAAAAAAAAAACCTTTATATATTGTATATTCAAATTATTTTGAACAAATAAAGTATTATAATAGAAGATCTCTATAAAAATACTTTACCTTATAACTGAATTACTTTTAAGATAAAAGAGGATTAATTAAGATCTAATTAGTATCAAAAAAATTTTCTAAACTATATAGATTATCAAATAATTGTCAATCTTTAATTAAAGTTAGATACCAATGAATTTAACATTTTGCAGATTATATATAAGAATATTGTGTCTCTTTATCTTTGAATAGAAGGATGAAATAAAAGGAAGAGAATTACTTATCTAAAGATCTAAAAATGCTTGTAACTATAAAGATACCTTAAAACTTTTAATGATATTAATAAATTCAGTCCTATAAGTGATATCATCTTCAAGTATATATTGTTTATTTAAAAAGTTGCAAAAACTTTCAAAAATAGATTAAGCCTTAAGGAAATTCTTCCATTTTTTGGCAAAAGATTCTAACTAGTACTTTTATTACAAATAAGAATGGTAAGTATCATTAATAGCTTTGGATTGGAGCCTTTAAAAAAATGAGATTCATTAAGTATTGATATAAGACTTTAACTTATAATACTTTAACAAACTATGAATCAGAACTAAAAAACCCACTAGTTAAAAAAAACTTCTTGTCTATTTTGTTTGTTTTTTATAAAAAAGAAATAGAGCTTTATCTATTTATAAAAACTAATAAAACCTATTTGAATATCAAGGGTAAGTATTTCAATATTAAAAATAATTAAAGTATCTTATGACCTTTACTATGATTAGATGAACTTTTTTTTATATCCAGAGATGTACTAGCATTTTTATATCTTCATTAGGAAATTTTTGAAAAAAACTCTGAAAAACTTTAAAAATTTTTGAAAATTTATAAAACAAAAATAATTTTATTTATTTTAATAATAAAAAACTTTGAAGATTATTTATTTCAAAAAACTTTGAAAATATTCAAAATAATAATATGTATAATAGAATAAAATTGACCAATAAAATACTGATTAATTTAGTTAATCAAAATTTAATTTATAAGTTGTTATAATTTTGTTAATATGATTTCATTTTTAAAGTTATGAAGTAATTTTCAAAAGGTGATGAAGAGTAGCATGTGGTTATAATATGACATAACTTTTTAGGATTTGATTATATAAGGTCTCTAAAGTCTTTTCTTTTTTATTAATATCAAATAAAAGAAAAGAAATGTGTAATATGTTTCAACAAATGATTTTAGGTTCAAGCTCTGGTAAAAAAGATACTTTGAAGTTCTCCAAAAAGCCCAAGAATACTTTCAGTACTTTGGATCGAAGACCAATACCTCAAGTCAAAACAGAAACAGAGCCACTCTGGAAGTGATTAAGATTTACCGATATATTCTAGAATCTTCGTCTACTAAGAGATTGCCTGAAGAATCTTTAAGTATATTAAAAAAGATGTAACTATTTAAATAAATACTAATTTATATATTTAGTTTCTAATATAATAATCGAGAGGCTTTTGGAATCATATAAAAATCTTTATAAGAAAATTGATTTGTTATTAGAATATCAAAAAACCATTAAGGATAAGGTTACTCACCTAGAAAATGAAATTCATACAAGCAATATTTAATTACTGAATAAGATTTTATTGAGATAAGGTTTAATTTTTTAATCCTCAAAGAACTTCAATAACATTTTAGATTCTATAATAGCATATGGTCAAGAGTATCATAAAAGAAGTTTTTTTTGAAAAAATATATATGGATTCTGAAGATTTTTACCAGTATACAGATGAATATTTTCAATGAAAACATTCAAAGTTCTTTGAAGGCCTTACAAGAAAACATTGAAAAATGTATTATAAAAAGCATATTTATCAAGTGATAATTTTTGTAGTTATTAATAATATAAATAAATTTATTAACAATATTATTTATTTAATAGCTTGTAAAACAACACAGATCACTTCGAGGGACTATGATTAAGATGCTATATTTTCAATCTTTGATGAAAACTCCCTGGATACAATCAATACAAATGTAATCACTACTGAAATTACGTCTTGGAAAGAATTGCAAAAAACCTAGAAGTGCTTCAAAAATCTTTATGTTTGTCCTAGGGGAAAAAACTAAAACATGATGGCACATATTCTCAAAAAAGTCTAGCCAAAAGAAAAAGTCTCTGAAGAACAAGTTGTATTCATTATCACAATATGCCAAATGATTTTAAATCTGGGTAATAAAAGTATTTTAATTAATAAAGCATTAATTAAAAGCAAAATAGAAAAAAATAAAGTAAGTTTTAAAATTCTTCAAAGTATTATAGAGTTATTTGTT